AATGTTATGTACATGAAACTTGGCATAATTCGATGCATTTTCCTTTTTCAAATTTGCATTATATTAAATTCCGTATTATATCGACACCGCGCGATGGTAGCGTCGCAGTAAAAATTAGAAGCTCATTCATCCTTGTTCATCTTTATATTAAGTGATGTGCTGACAACAAAATTTTTTATTGCATTTAATTTCGTTATTATGTGCTTAATCGTGCAGATGTGACTTGTCTCGTACTTAGAAAATTCGTAAAATTGGACGGCAGCTAAAATTACCTTTGAATTTTATATGTAAAAGCACACTTTTCACTTCTTTTAACAACTGTCGTGTATTTTCTGCTTCATATCACGTGCCTTTTATAGATTATCAAGAAGAGAAAGGATAGCAGTCATTTTTACAAGTGTCTTAAAGCCATCTCAAGTGTCGTTTTAATTAAATATCTCTTTATTTGCAAATTAGGTGCAATAAATTTTACTATTTTTCTTATTTCCACTTGTAGAATATGCTCTCGCAACTTAAACTTCCGAAGCTGCCTGTATCTATTTCATTTCAAGTACAACGTATATTAGTTCAGCTACAAAAAAATACATCACGAGTCATGATAATGCGACTCAGAGATAACTCGGACGTGCAGAATCCGAAAATTCTCTATGCAGATCTCCGGGATTAGCTGGACTAGCGCGCGCGACAGGCGCGTCCTCGTGACTCCATTAGTGCTCTAATTGCGATTAAAAGGCTCGACGTACCGATTGTGATGGCAGTGGCGATGTTTGATCATACGATCTGTACACGGTGGTCATATGGGTGCGGGCACCGTTCAGCGATCCGTAACCGGGTGTCGCGTTACCTCCGCCAATGTGAGTCCCCTCCGACGAGACGGTATTCTGCAGGTCCGCCAGCAACGCATCTGAAAATGAAATGAATCCAGGAATTAATTTGCACTCGCGATTAAAATGCGGATCGCGCCGAGCTGACTTCCCGGAAAGTATAAATTTACCGAGGAAGAAAAAAAAACCCGGTGCGCGTTGTCTCATCCCTAAATTTATCGAGAATCTCCCATTACTTCGGACTTTCTCGCCGCTTTTCGTTGACTCTTATTTCTGTAGAGCCAAACGGAAATTTTATTCGCATTACACAATCGATCCTCCATGCATACCGCATGAAAAATAAACGATCACATCTTTAATGCAAACATTTGTGATTAAATGGGATCCAATGTAGAAATTTTTAATGCGAATATTTTTCAACAGGCACGTTTAAATTTTTTATTTCTTGTTTATTAGCTTATAAGAAATTAATTCATAACAAATTAACGATTCAAGGATTTTTTAATTTTTTTACAAATTATTTATGAATTTTACATTGCAATAATATATTCTTATTTAAAGTACAATAATTAAAATATATTTCTGTTTTTATCAATGATTAATTTTTGGATCGACAAGTTGTATGTCTCAACTTGATATAAGATTTTTTTAATTTTTAGCAATATTATATTGTTCTGAATTTATCAAATATAAATTCAATAAAAAGAAAAATTATTAAACACAAAATTTTAAAAATCCTGTTTCTCGAACAATATCACTTATTATTTTATTATTAATTGAAACTTATCTCAGTTTAATGCACTGATTATATATTTTTTTACAATAATAATTTTGTAATTATATCGATGATTGATGAATATTATTAGGAAATAGAAAAAAATTATATTCTATGAAAACTGATACCGCATTATTAGATCAATCAGGTTCATTTAATTTCGAGTAGTCGTATGTAAAAAAAGAAATGTCATGGCATTGTTTCACGATGACGCCATACCCGTTTGCTTCGCCGTCGTCCTTGACAGCCGCGTGATTGTCACGACGCGTTTAATTTATTTAATCAAAAATACCAAGAGATATTATCTATTTTACGACGTAAATATTACGTAATATCAAGTAACTCATGCAAATACGAAATTCACATAGGCAAACGTGAAAACAAACCCAACTTGCTAAACGGAAGTATGATTGTATTTCTGACGGATGGGTCCGTGTACATAAAATTCTTTTAATCAAAAATAATTAACAGATAATTATTTAATATTAAATACACGTAGAGAAATATGAGAGAGTTGCTTGGCACCGTGGTAAATTCAATTTGCAATTTACATTTAACTACATACAAACTATATTTAAACATTTTATTGTTGTACATTCACGTGATGAGAAACTCGTTACGATCGTAAAGATCGAGGAAGGCTATGTGAATCTTCATTGTTGTTCAAATTCACATCCCTTTCCGACCTAACCTAAATTTCTCGTGCGTAGCGTCAATAGTGAAGGATTTGCTTGTTGTATGTCAATTATATTCTCGTTTAGAGAATTCTTTAGAGTCGGAAGAGGTATCCGAAGGCCTGGGAAGCTAAGCCGATTTATTCGTTTCGTCCGTGACTAAATTGTCATCCAAGCCTAAATCTAAAAAGTAGTTAAATGCGTGTTTACCGAGAGTAACGAGATTACTGGTCGCTTTCTCACGATTGTACACCTGGTACAGGCTCTCCTCTTCGGGTGCGTGCGCGCTCCGCGTCGTCTCCATCGCGGGATCGCGAGAGAGGCCCGACACACCCACTATTTCAGGAACGTTGAACCTCGCGAGCAGCGGTGGCGAGTTTCAGGCCGAGACTCTGATTGCGCGTCCGGCCCGGCAAAAGTGCGGAGAAAGTGCGAAACCGCGCGGAAAAAAAAATTAGCCTTAAAGCAAAACAAATATTCTCACATAAACAGAAGAATATTATAATCTTTTTAGAAACGTTAGTCTTGATTTCATTGAATTTGTATTGATGTAAGTATCATCTTTGCTCGGCTCAAAAAAATGAGGAACTAGAAATGACTGTAACATTCTTCCTTATGTATGAGAATATATATTTTTAATTTAAGACTAATTTTTTTTTTTCTGCGAAGGGACAAATGCGCGAGAGAAAAATCACGAGAGCACGAATCCCAACGCGACGTCTTTTCTCGCGCGTCAGGTAGAGATCGGCAGTTTCGCCTATCGCGAAACTGAATCGTCGTAACTATGCAAGACAAAAAAAATTCAAAGATGTGGAAGATCAATTAAAGCCAACTCAGGAAAGATTAAAAACTTTTGCAGAGATTTCATAAAATAGCTTCGACCTTAGAATTATTTAGATCCAGAAAGAATTTAAATTAACCGACGCATAACGCATAAGATGTTATACCGAGAAACAATGGCAATGAATTAATTCACCGAAGTGAGATACGAGAGAAACAAAGTGAACTGAAACACGATGACACTGTATCGCGCTAAGGCTAACTGAGGCTGATAAGAAAAGCAAAGTGTTTATGAAGCGTCTTAGTCTGCGAATTTATCGCGAATCGTAGCCTATCATGCCAATGTTGTACACGCTTGGGATTGTTATTGTCGTTATTGTCACTATATTTAGTCTACAAAACGCGAAGCGAATTACACAGGCGTACGGGGGAAGTGCGGAAACGCGTTGTTGATCGAGCGCCGATATCGAATTGTAATTATCGCACTTGATAAATCATTATCAAGATAAAATGATAAAATGCAACTCTGTCGTCCGATTCGTACAATTTTTCTCGCGTTCTCTGCTCGCGCACCGCTCCGATTTTTTTCACGCACTGACTCCTGAGGGACGATGACACGTGTCTCACGGGATTGGGATTTGCGTGCACGCGTGCGAGCGACGCGGCATGCACGGGAACGTCGGCGGAACTGATTGTCATTGAAGCGTGCAGGAGGGCGATACCGCGAGCTGGAGGAAGGAGCAAGGAGGTTGGAGAGGAGGAAGGACATTAAGCAGGCATTAAGACGGTAGTGGGGCACATGCCCGTACGTTAACCGGAAGCTGCGGTGTTCAGAAGAAACGAACGCCTAGGCAGCTGGTTTGCTCCGCGACGTTGACGTCTGATTACGGAGAAATTGATTGCACCAAGTATAAACGTGCGAGCAACGTGGCTACGAGGAAATATCCAGTTTCAGAAAATGACGGGTTCTTTCAGAGACATCTTTCAGAGACAAAGACTTGATATGTTGAATATATATATTTGGGTGAAACTTTAACTTAAGCCTTGATCAATGAAAAATGTGATTTTTTTTTTTTTAATTTCTAAATTTTAAGGTAAAGATGAAGAAGCAGTTTAAGCAAACTGCGGTGATTTAAGTAAATTTTTTTTAATTTTATTAAAGTAATTAACTTCGAACGTTGTAAGCGTGAAAATAGCTTCGAGAAATTCCAAAGACGAATAAATGGTCTTTTGAGTAGTGACTAGTCACTTAAAGCACTTCAACGTTCTACAGCGAACAATCGTGCGGCATTCCGTAAATACATCGTAGATGGCAGAGGAAGGTCCAAACGCATATTTTGTTATAAAATATTACCATGAAAATCTTCCAAAAAAAATTGTTTTACAATTAGCAACACACGTATTAAGTATCCTTATAAAAATACTCTATTATATATATATATACTTAATAACTATATTATATATACTCTTATCTTGTATCTTATCGCATAAAACTTTTCAATATGAGCTGTTTTTCTTAATTGAAAACATCATCTCGAATTTAGAGGTACTATGTGATACAAAATTAAAAGTGTAACAAGTCAGAATAAACATTCGTATCGTTTGCGCAAACAACAAGTTCGTTATTGTAAAAATACTGAAAACTAAATATGAAGGAAGATACGCGCGCATACGTATATTGCCAATGCCTGATTTCAATTTTCAAAAAATATTCGCGGACTCGTTTGAATAAGGCTGTTTGCACTGAATTTGAGATCGATGCGTCCGTGCGTACATCCCTGCACGTTGCACGCGCGCTGCGTTTTTGCGATCTTTTTTGCGCTTCGCGTGCGCCGCGAGAGTCGGGTTGGGTAATCGTCTGAATGAGACTTGAACACTGGCACGAAGCCTGCACGAGCTTATCGAGGTCTATTTTGTACGGCTGATTCATACAGAGAGTCGGACATCAATATTGCGCGTAACGCACGCGTGTATCTTGCGTAAACCGTGAAGGAGGGAACCGTAGAATCGTGACGTTAACAGTATCATCGACCGTCTTCATTCCTATTGCTGCAACATGCCAACTGCCATCAATCTTAATTACTCGCAAGATCTAATCATGATCGCCGCGGGGCCGCGATAAACGTAAAACTTGACAGAAACGCATAGAAAAAAAATAATAGTTTTCAAATCAAGAACAAATCTCACATATATAAGCAAGAATATTATAATTTTTTGAAAATTTTAATCTTGATCTGATTAAATTTGTATCGATGCAAGTAATACTTTTGCTCAAGATTAAAAATCTTCTATATGAAAATATCTATATCTTGCATTAATGCAAATTCAATCATGATTGAAATTTTTCTACGAAGATTACAATATTCTTGCTTAGATATAATGTTGACTTAAGATTAAGTTTTTTTCTATGCGGAGAGACCAATTTAAAATCATATATCAAAATCACATATATGCATAAACGTGCATAAAATATAGCATAAAATATAATATAAAAAAAAAAAAATTAATGATAAAATGTAATATGTACAATTCGAAATTCTTACTTTCTGAAATGTCATTTTCTGAAAAATTGTGATGTTGCGAGGGACACAAATTTTTAATTTTTATAAATAATAAAATATTTCTTAAAAATAATAAATTAGGAGACTAGATTAGGAGACATACGCACACATCAAGGAAACAATTAGCAAGAGACAAGTTGGAAATATTTGAATAATGAGTTATCTATTGTCGAAACTAAGATTTAATTAAAGACGATTCTTAGACAATACTTACTAACGTATTGCTCCCATTTCGCGTGACGTTGAATCGTCGCCAGACGAATCGGTGAAATCGGCGATACAGGCCTCATTACATCTGCCATTTTTACGCGTTTTCGAGACTCTCACGCGGCACTGTTTCTACTCGTGAAACAACAAACAACGCGAGATGTTATAATATTACAAAGACTGGCCAAGAGATCACTACTTCAAAAATCAATCCGTAACGACCGATTCTCATTACACTCCTATGTAAAAACACTGTGTTATCGTTTACAACAAATTACAATCAGAATATAAATATTTTCGATTTTGAATTAATATCAATTTCCGTAATAATGTCAACTGTCTGAAGTCAGACAGTTTCTTTCTTTTTATATCGATATACGAATAGCTTTTCGCAGTAGTGATTTCCAAGCCATTCTGCATTCCTCTATTGTCAATTAAAGTTGAAAATATTCTTTTAGCCAACGAGAGGAGGCGACGAGTGACGCGCGACGGATAGCAGAAGGCGCGACAGATGGCGGCTCGAGGATGTAAACAGACGAAAAGATTCGCCAAAAATATCCGTCGTTCGTTATCGGCAACGATAACCGCGTCCGAATTCTCTGTAAATCACGCGCGAACTGAATCCGCCACGACGTCTGTGTTGTGCTCCAACTTGCTGGCAGCGAGGTAAAAATAAACCTCAAATTAGAGCAGAACTAGCTAGATCCATTCCCAGCTGGACAGTATTTAATCCTACTCCAGAAAACGCAGCCGCGTCTCTGCGGATCAGGTAACGAACGTTCCGTTTCTTCGCGTGGTTTCTTTCTCAATGGATCATGACCGTGATCGCGCATCAGGAATGTCTGGGACAAGGTGTGAACATCTGTTTTTGTAGATGAATCACCACTCTACGAACGACGGTGACCTTCTTCTTGGCGACTCGAAAAAAAAAAAAAATCAGTTTAATCGTAATAAATTCCGACTTGAGAGAAACTGGCGTTGCGTATCACATTTTTCCACTACACCCCTGGTCTTCTATGAATGACGAAGTCGTGAACAACGAGAAAAACGAAGTAAAAATGGTTCAAATGGACGGGATTATTGTGAAGACGAACGAGATCGAAACGACGAGATTAAAATTTTTAAGATTCTAATATTCTAAGATTCTAATATTCTCGCTATATGAAAATATTGTCTCTATTTAAGACTAATCTTTTTTTTTTCTGTGCACGTTGAACTGCTTCGTACTACTAAAACTGGACACGTGGAGCAGCGCGGGCATACGCGCGTATATACGTCGTCGGAATACAACGGGATGATTCGCGGAGATGACGGTGGGATGATCGATCGGATCCGAGTGTCTGGCGGGATCAGGCGATACTGGCACCACGTGCTGTTGTTGCGGCTGTCGCGCTTACGAAACCTCCGTGTTACGTGAGATCACCCCCCCCCTCCCCTTGGCCATTGGCGCGATTCTCTTTTAACATAGACCGCCGGATGGAACGGAAGCGTCGAGAGACGAGAAGATGTCGAAAGATCCCGATCGAGCAAGAGATTCGTCGGGAATGGTCCCGATCGATAAGCGGATAATGGATAGCCGTTATTGGATTGATCGAAACGTCACATTTCGAATGCGAAACACACCGCGACCTTCACTGCAAATCACTGCGACGCACCACCCACGCTCCTGAACACTGCAATCAACGTCGGAATCGGAGGCTAGGTCTTCTATTCTATTTCTTGCTTGACGATATTCCATACATATTCGCAGAAAAAATGCACCGTTGATTAGCCGCGCGATAATTAATAGTAAAGAGCAAAATCCGATATAGTTCTTCCCGTTTCCTCCGCCAAGTATGGAGCGATAAGTCGCGAGAGACGTTAATTAGACGAAGTAAATGCGAATCGCGAATGACACTCTTCGCAGCTACTTTTTCCTCGCGGACCTTTTTTTTACCGGTTACTCGACCAGGCGGAGTATGCGCGATTCCTTTATCGCACCTTCCTACATATCCTATGTCGCGAACAAGCGAGCGAGCGTAGGAAGTGGAAACCACGAGAGGCTGACCTCATATGGAGGTGCGGATCTTCCAGGAGGAGCGATCGAGAAAGAGGAGATACCTACGCACCGACGTTACCTTGAATCTGATCGATCGATCGAACGATCGAACGATCGAGCAAAGGAACACGTCGGCAATGTCGTGATAATCTTCGATTAGGACGTCGCGCGCTAATCGCGTATGCGGGTGTAACCGGATCGCCGATCGATCGGCCGAGAGAACCGCCGTACGCCGATGGATGTCTAATTGCATCACGTCCGAGATAAGTAGCAAACCGTAATATCCATACATCCGCAGATGCAGATAATATCTCTTGACATATTTCATGTAACCGCTCACTTGGAAATTCAGTCACGCGTATCGTTCATGCGTGTCTTGATTACGGTATTTAATTAAAATACTTCAAGATCTATTTAAATCCCTAATCGCGCTAATATCTTGAGCTTTCGTCAGAATATTATGAAGTATCTTTTAAGGCTCAACAGCGAGATACAGAAGGTAAAGCGTTAGATGCGAATATATGCGATTAAGGTACATCCTTCACGAATCTTTAATTATTAATAACAAACACACACACACACACACACACACACACACACACACACACACTACTCACGCATAATATATAATATATATATATATATATATATATAAATTATAAATTTACTATAAATCTCCAAGAGTCGATCGATTAAGGTTTATTGCTGATAAAAGAATCTTAGGTACCTTATCTGAGGTATCTAATTAACCGCAGTGAATTCAGGCAATGAAAGAAATACGATAAGTTAGTAACTCCGCAATTAAAGCCTTAACCCGTTTGTCATTCTCGCAGAGCAAATACGTTGAACTTACATCCAGGAGGCGAACCCTTCTTCATCGTGATCCT